CCGAGGCGGCGGGCGCCGAGCAGGTACGCGGCCCCGCGGTGGCCTCGGGCCGGGCCGGGCCGGGGCGCCCCTGCCCCGGGAGGAAGGACGTCGCCGGGGGCCGGAGCAAACGCCGAGCGACCCCTGCACACGGAGGGCAGGGGCGCCGGCGGCTGGCGGTCCTTTGCGGCCAGACCCCTCCGCGCCGGCCGCCGTCCCGCAGCCTCGCGGACCTGGGGGCCTGCGGTGCCGGAGCCTTTCGCTGCCGGCCTGGGGCCTGACCGCGAGCACTGCGAGAAAGTCCCTGAGGGCAGAACCCAACTTGAATGGGTGTTTTCTTTGCCTCTGCGGCGCAGCTGGGTGCTGCGAAGGTGGGGTGGGAGGAACCTGTCTAAAAATAGAGGATTGTGAAAACCGGTCTAGTGCGTGTCATTGGGAAAAATTACCCAGAATAAGGTGGGACTGCAAGTGAGGAGCAGCGAGCACCCTCCCCTACCGTGGGGTTTACAGCCATTCAGAGTAGGGTAGGAGACCCCCATCCGAAGTTAAAACGCCCTAAGTAAGGCCTTTCAACTGAGGAGTTCAGGGCACTCTGCAGAACTCTTGTATCACCCAGAGACTTGTTGATCCAACTGTCCTTAAATCATTTGGCTAATACAGTTTGCAGGAGAGGTTAGTAAATAGTTAAATATTCCCTATTAACCTCTGACGGACTGAAAATAATTCAGAAAACTTTAGAAAGGGGGAACTGTGTAGCCAGCCCTCTGGAGAAGTGCGCATCCTGGAGGTATGTTAAGGTTTGTGGTTCTGCATTAGGCCCTCCTCTTTATAGCTAGGGGGAAATGAGAGTGAAAAAAAAAAAAAAAAAAAAAAAATGGAGCCCAAAGTCAAATATGACCACTGGTTGCTTGACTGGAGTAGAGGAGTCACCACCTAAATATTACAGCCAAGGCTGCCTCCTTCATCTGGATGATCATCTCTGTTTAGGTGAGGAGGAGACAAAGTCTTAGTGCAGGCTCTATGCTAAACACGTTGTTTTAGTCACCTGCGATTTCGGGGGTTGGGTGGGAGTTGCTGTTTTTAATCCCCATTTTAGACAAACCTGAGGCTTAGAGAGTAGAAGCTTGCCCAAGAATACTCAGGGAGAGAATGATGCAAACCCAAGTATGTCTGTGACCAATGTACAACCTTTAACCTGTCAATATCGTGCGGATCCCCATGCCCCTTGTGCTCTGGATTGCTGATGGGTCATTTTGAATTGCAAATTCAACCCTCAAAAAGTATTAGAGGCTAGGTTCCAGTTTTTCTCTTTCTCTTGTCTCCCAATTAAGTAACCTTCTCAAAGAAGTCTGGGCTATCAAAAAATTCCAGCCCAGATTCAATCCAGCTAACCAGGTCCCTCTGTATAAAACAGTTTCATAATTAATGTTTCAGTTAATTGTGACCCCAGAAAATGGTAGACCACAGCAGCCCTCCCTTTTCCCCTTTAGTGATTTATTTTTGTTAGTGTCACCATTTAACTTCTTTTAAAAATCTCCTTTTTATTTTTGCTTTTGTTCCCTCTCCCAATAGTCATTTGCAAGTACTACTGGACCTACTTTTAGAATATATCCCAGTCTGACTACTTCTTACCTCCTAGGAATACCTGCTGTATTCCTAGTTCAAGTGAATATTTAACAAATGATGGCGCCAATAAGTAAGATGAGTAAGTCTAGGGAAAAAGCATCATCAGAGGTTAAATTAAGAATTCCCCTGAATTTTATATCCACTTGGACGTCTAAGTGGAGTTCTTAACTATATCGATGAATGGAGCCTTAGTCCAGAACTGCAGTCATCAGTCTGTTGGTGGTGTGGAAAGTCAGGGGAGATATGTGGTCATTAAGGAGTGATGAGGAATAAGGACTAAACCCTGGGCACTCCTCAATTTGGAACCTATGCAGAAGAGGAGGAGCTAAAGAGAAGGCTGACAAGGGACAACCAATGAGATAGGAAGAAACCAGTAGAGGTGTGACATCTGACAGTGTTGCAGGAAGGAGGAAGATATTTCACGGGCCCAGTGCTGCTGGGAGGTTGCCTGAGTTGAGCACTGAGAAATGGTTTGGTAAAATGGAGATTAGTTAGTGACATTGAAAGAGCCATTTTGATGGAATGCTGAGGATGAAAACCTGATTGGGGTGTGTCATGGGAGAAGAGGAGGAGATAGGGGTTATGCACAATTGTTTGGTGATGTTTTATCAAAACAGGAAGCAGAGCTATGGCTCTGTATTTGAAGGGAGATTTGGGTCAAGGAAGATTGTATATGTTTAAGCTTAGAAATTGTACACATATGTCTGCTGAGGGGAATGATCCAGAAGAGTCTAGGGAAAAAGCATCATCAGAGGTTAAATTAAGAATTCCCCTGAATTTTATATCCTCTTGGACGTCTAAGTGGAGTTCTTAACTATATCGATGAATGGAGCCTTAGTCCAGAACTGCAGTCATCAGTCTGTTGGTGGTGTGAGAAATTTTGATGATGCAGGGAATAGGAACAATATATTAAGGAACAAAATCCTTGACTGGGCAGGTGAGAGGGGAAAGGGTAGAGATTCCAAAAGGAGCAGAAGCTGGAGGAACAAAGACAGATGCTTGCAGGTTGGTACATTTAGAGGTTGGAGGATGCAATCATTCTCATAATAATCTGGAGAAATAGGTAGGGCATGAGTCATTATCTTTGTTTCACAGATAATAAAACGAAGATTCAGGTAAGTGGTTGGCTTAAGGCCTCACAAATAAGTAACAGAGTTAAGACAGCCCAAGTCTTGGGCTGTTGACATTATACCCAGGTTTCTATAATGCTCCTTCACTTTTAGTGGAGCTGAAATGGATTCATGCCTAATTAGTTGGACTTGCAGCCCAGAGCCTGGAATTCCACATCCTGTGCTGTCACTGAGCTCGAGGGCCTTGTTGAACTTCTCTAAGGCTGGGTTACCTTGTTTCTAAGAGGGAAACACTAATATCTGCCATCCAGGTGTGTCGTAAAAATCAAGTGAAATAATATACATGTAAGTGCTTTGTAAATGGGAAAAGTGCTTTCTGTACAAATGTAAGATGATGATTCATATGGTTGTAGCTCAGGCTAAATAGATTCAGAAACTTGCTAGGCAGAGCTATTTTGAAACGTGTGGCAAGGACCAGAATTTAAGCTTTTCCTTGCTTATGTAACATGACAGAGTAGCTAATGTTAAACATCAGAGGATTTGGTGTTAAAGTAAGTATCTCTATACTTGTAGTAATAGTGAGAATCACACCACTTGAAAAATGTGTGAAAATTGCTTGGAGGATGCTAATCTGTCAATACAGATGGGGGTGGGGGATGATGAGAAAGGGATTTGGGAGGTGAAGCTCTTAATGAATATTCAGACCTAAACATTGTCTTCTGTTTCATTATTGTTATCTGTCTTATTGTCCTGGATGACATGGGACACAAAACACTTTCTTAATGCATTATAACAATACCTATAGTTAGAGAACTTAAATCCATTATATTGACCTGTATCTTATACTTTTAAAATCATTATGGTGGTGAGAATTTTTATAAGTTAAATAGTATGGATGAACTACCACACATAAATTACTACAATCCGAAGTTCATTCCATTTGAGAGCTTTTACTGCTTTGTGTATATATATTATAAATTTGCTGATTTATGTCACATAGTGTTATCACTGGATTAACAGATTATTCATGCCTTTGTATACTTGTTATGGTGCAATAAAGGATGGAGTTTAGAAAGCTATTTAGGTTGTTTTAAAAATCCCCTTTCCCTTTCATGAGTATTATTTGCCTTTAAGTTCAGCTAAATGTTGCAAATCAATGATAATTTTCTTTGTAGAATTTATTTTCTTAACAATTTTTTAATATTGTGTATTCAAAAATAATTTTGGTCATAGAATCACTTGTGTAACCTCTGGTAAGGTAAATGTCTTAAATTCATTTTGAGTTCTATTTCTAATGAGTATTACTCTAGAACATTTGGCCTCCATAGGCTTTTGGTGAATAGTATCGTTTTTTATTTAGTAAAACATTTTAGGACAAATGTTATTGGGTTCAAATCAGGCAAATAGAATGCCAACAAATGTTGCTAGTAGGCATCATTAAAAGCAAATGTATAATATTGTCATTATTCTGAACAGCTCGACACTTTTCAGGCTTTCCATATGGATGCTCATTATTTTAGGTGTTCTAGAAATTTCTCAGTGAAATTATTGTGCTTCAACATGTAAATGGAATTTTACTTTTCATTTTAGGGTGGTGATTCCACTGAAGCAACTGCCAAACCAAAGAGAAGCTTTTATGCTGCGAGGGATTTGTACAAATACCGACATCAGTACCCAGTAAGAGTATAGAATGTTTTTTCTACAATGTAAAATATTTCCCTTCTGTTTTTGTTATTTTGTGGTGCTAGTGAGCAAACATGCAAGAAGGGTCCTTGTGCCTTTTTTATATGTCCATATGCTGGAGATTGATGCATTTTTTTCCTTTAGCAGAACTTCAAAGATATCCGATATCAAAATGACTTGAGCAATCTTCGTTTTTATAAGAATAAAATTCCTTTTAAGCCAGATGGTGAGTAATCTGCTACCTTGGTAAAAAGCAAATGTTACATAATAACATACACCTAGTTATTCTTTGTTTATTCTGTGGTCAGTACATTCTTAATGCATTTGTTCATTGGTTGGCTTTACTTTGCTATGTAGTCTAAGGTGTCCCCAAAGCCCTAGACCCTAGACTTGTGAACTTCCACTTGGCAAATTCTAGAGGAATAACTGTGGATTAGCAATACTTTCCCACCATTTGTTCACAGGGGCTATTGTCTTAAAGGTAGTGGGGGCCACTTTTGTGAGAGGGAAAGAGATGAAATTTGTAGAATCATAAAATACTAGATTATTAAGAAACCTTAGAGGAGATCAGATTAATCTTCCTTATTTTATTTTATTTTATTTTATTTTATTTTATTTTATTTTATTTTACTTTATTTTATTTTATTTTTTTAATCTTCCTTATTTTAAAGATGAGGTCACTGGGTCTTAAAGCTTGAATGACTGACTTGTCTGGTCACTCGATTATAGGGTTGGGTCTAGGATCCACAGTTCAGTATTTTTTTTACTATGCCATATCCCCAAATTATTTAGAACATAATTGAAAAGTAATATTTGTATTAGAATGATCTTTCCTGTTGATTTTTAGATTCAGGGGTCAGGGGGTCCTGGCAGTCTCAGTTCACTGTTCCAATATCCTGGGAAGGGAACTACAGAAACACTACATCTCCATTCAACCCTGCCAAATAAACGGCCTCCTCCTTCACAATTCTACAATTACCCTTGTAAGATCTTTTCTAAGATTCTCTCCCTATAGGGAGAGGATGCATCCACTATGGTAATATGCATATTTCACCAAAGTACCATGCTGTGGTTCATGATGGACATCCTAATTTTATCCAGGTCAAACCAGCAAAGTTGGCTTTTCTCCTTGCCCTTATCTCTGTGAAGTGACCAGATGGCCCTGGCTTCTGCTCTTTGCTCTTAGTGGAATCTGAGCCAAATCCGCAGCCAAGTGAATCAGGGAATGAGGGTCATAGATTGCAAAGCTTTCCAAGTAGCCGGACTGTGTATTCTTTGGTGAACAAACTGGATGAGGGCTGTCTGAAGGGTGGATGGCATGTTGGGAGGAGGAATTCCCTGTACTGTGCACTGAGAGATGCACCAGTTAGGAGTTAGGACTTAAGAACATTGCTCCAATGGCCAAATCCACTGGTCTTTAATTAATTTAATGTTAATTAAAGTGTCCCAAAAGTTTGCTCAGACTTGGGAGGAAACCTCTGGATAAAAGTGTTCTGTTGTATTTACTAATGATAAAAACACACTGTTTTATTTACTAATTGAAATAATATTAATTAAATTATTAGGGCTTTTTAGGACCTGGGGCAAGAAAACCTTCAGAAGAAATGCAATGATTGTTAATTTGACTCTGATTTGAATTTAATAAAATTCACCTAAAGTAATGCCTTCAAATATTAAAAACATTGAACATGAGAGTACTTAACTGAATTATTTTTGTATTTCTAGTAGTGATTTATTTTTGAGGTAGTAATTTAAAGTAATAAATTCAAACACTGTTATTAATTTTTTGTAATTTTTATCACAAAATTTATTTTGAAATCATGTAAGGTTGGTGGGAGTCAGGAGTTTTATCTAAGGTCACATAGAATGTGTTCTAGTTTATTATATAAATTACACCAACTCACACAATTTCCTATCGTGTGGGTGTATCCACACACATACACATACACTTGCCAATAAGCGTAAGCCTGCAGTGATGTATTTTACTTGTGTAAGTAGGTGGAGGGGTAGTTGGAAGGGAGATTATGGAGGTAAATAGTTTTAAATTGCTGATAAAGCCAATAGTATGATTCAAAAACAACTTTTTACTCAGCCTTCCAAGAGTAGGCCTCAACTACAAACTGATGATCTCTGGAAGAAACAAGAATGAGATGAGTTATATTTAGAGAAATATTTTGTGTTTTGTTTTTTTTTTTCCTTAAAATTGACTAATTGGCCACATAGTCAATTGTGAGGACATAGACAGAATTTGAGAAGCAGGAGGATTTTGTTATACAGTTGACCCTTGAGCAGTATAGGGGTTATGGATGCCAACCCCTGTGCAGTCAAATATCCGTGTGTAACTTTTGACTCCCCAAAACTTAACTGCTGATAGCCTACTGTTGACTTTAAGCCTTACCAATAGCATAAACACTTGATTAATGCATATTTTGTTATGTGATATGCATTATATACTGTATTCTTACAATACAGTTCAAACCCATGTTGTTCAGGGTCAACTGTAATAAGTTCTTATGAGGAAACAATAAAATGTGGTGAAGAGGACTTACTTTTTGGAAACAGAAAGACCTGTGTTCTATTCCTACATTTAGTCTTTTGTTAGTGTGTGACTTTGAACAAATCACATAATGTCCTCATTAGTAAAATGGGGATAATAGTACTGGTTTGGGAGAGTTCTGTGGAGAGTAAGCTGGATGATATATACTGTATGTAATTTGGGTCCTTTTTCTTCCATTTTTCCTTCTTCCCTTCTCTTTTCTCTCACCTTTCTTTTATTCCTTTTTTTTTTTTTTTTTTTGCCTACATTCCATTTTGATCCCGTCTTGTTTTTAAAGAACTGTATGACCATCTAGGGCAGGGGTTGGCAAACTTTTTCTGTACAAGACCAGGTAGTAAATATTTTCAGGTGTGTGGGCCATTAGTCTTTATTGCAACTACTCAACTCTACTATTGTAGTGTAAAATATATAAATGTGAATGTGCATGGCTGTGTTCCAATAAAACTTTATAAAACAGATGGCAGACCGTACTTTGTCAGCCTCTGCTTTAGAGTAACACTGATAGACTTTCTGTGATTTGTGGTGCCACTGATTTTTTAAAAATTAGGCTTATTACATAACTGAGCATATGGCATAAGGTATTTTTCTTTTGAAAGCATTATTCCTTGGTGGCTCGGTCGGTTAAGCATCTGACTCTGGATTTTGGCTCAGGTCATGATCTCACAGTTCCTGGGATGCCCCACATTGAGCTCTGTGCTGACAGAGCAAAGCCTGCTTGGGATTCTCTCTCTCCCTCTCTCTGTCCCTCCCCCACTTGCACTGTCTTTCTGAAAATAAATAAATAAACATTTTTTAAAAACAGTATTTTCACATGCTATAATTACATTTCAGAGGTTTTAATATAAAGATTGATTAAATATTAAAATGTCATCAACAGTGTCTTAAATGTCTGGCTCATTTTCTAAATGTTTACTGTCTAGGTGTTTACATTGAAGAAGTTCTAAATAAGTGGAAAGGAGATTATGAAAAGCTGGAGCACAACCACACTTACATTCAATGGTCAGTTACATTTATGTATCTTGAACCATGTCCTATTTAATCATGTATGTTTTTCAGATAGCATTAATATAATAATATTATTTTTCTAAAAAATAGGCTTTTCCCCCTGAGAGAACAAGGCTTGAATTTTTATGCTAAAGAATTAACTACATATGAAATTGAGGTAACGCAAGCTCATTTCATTTTATATGCGATTACCAAATAATATTGCTGTTTATTGTCCTGGTAACTATTGAATCATTTCAGCTGACTTTTTTCTCCCCCTTAGGAATTCAAAAAAACGAAAGAAGCAATTAAAAGATTCCTCCTGGCTTATAAGATGATGTTAGAATTTTTTGGAATAAAACTGGTTGATAAAACTGGAAATGTTGCTCGTGCTGTTAACTGGCAGGAAAGATTTCAGCATCTGAATGAGTAAGTAAAGCCCCAATGGCACACCAGGGGCCAGCATGTTATCTTTTCTTGGTTAGAATTCTCCGTGGAACATAGGAACAGCTAACTAGTAGATGGACCCAGGAATCTGAATTCAAAAGCTAGTCTGAAATGCATTTTATACCTTGTCCCATCTAAAGCACAACAAAATAGCTATAAGAAAGAGTGAAATTCCAGGTAGAAATAAGGCCATTCTGCTTCACAGCTGTTTCTTCCTGAAACCTCTCTACTGCCCAAAGCCAAGTGTGGCCTCTCTCCCTCTTTATAGCATGTATCTTGGCATTTGTACTTATTTTGTGTATGCATTTTTCCAGCTCCCCTCGGCTAGGCTGTGAGCTTCTTGTGGCACAGTCTGTTCCTCAAGCATGGTACCTTCTTAGACTAAATCTATAAATGAAGCCTATGACATAAAAAAAATCATTTTATAAGAAGGAAATGGGCTTGTACATTTCTAAAAAAGGGGGAAAATTAGAATCGTCATTATTTAAGTAAAAACAAAAGCCCATTTTTGCTTAATAAATCCTAAAATCTGTGAAGAGAATTTTAACATAGTTTATTTGGAATTGATTTGCTGGGTTTTTTTTTTTTTTTTTTTTTTTTTTTTTTTTTTGCCTGGATATTTATAACTTTCATTAATACTTATACCCAGAGTTTATTTTTCTTAGTATTTTCTTTGTATGCAAACTGAATTTTTTTCATTTTAATTATAGGGTGGCTTATGAATGCTGGACCATAAAACCAGCAGCTTTAAAGCATTTTTTTTAAGCACATTATAATTAGCCGAACTGGGCAAGTACTAAGAGAAAAAAAAAAAAAGCTAACCTAAGAAATTTTTCTTTGCTGAAAACAGTTTTGAGCATCAATTAACTGAATTTTTTGGTGTTTTTCTAGAACTTTCATCTTGCTTTGCTAAAATGAGTATAAGTATTAATGTTTAAGCCTTCTTTTTACTTTATTAGTTATAATCAACACTATTAAAATGGTAGCTTGTACTAAAACACTGAAGATATGGGCGTAAAGCTTTATGATCCTGACTAGAAGACCCATTAACTCATAACTCAAGTTAAATTTGATATATATAGGGCACTTATAGCAGAAGTATATTATGCCTCTGCCTAAGCAATGCGGGTCGCTGTCTTTGCACAGAATTTCTAAGCACTTAATGTCCCACTGTCAATGAAAGCTGTATGCAAATAGCCTATTGACATGTAGGATGGTAAACTTTTATTTTAGAGCATCTCCATCCCCAACTTGTTAATTTTGGTTGGAATAGAAATCTTGTTTAGTAACTGTTTGTTGAATGAATAAACACTGAACAAAATAACATTTGCCAGCTTAAATCCTCCTTGGGGTTTTATTTTCAGATCCTCTAACTGACAGTTGGAAACAGAACCCTTCTGAAGGTTTTAATTAAAATGATCTCCTGGCTTGGGTCAGGGGAAAGGAGCCTGAATTAACTGTCATATTCCCTTTGCCTCATTCAGATCCTTTTCTTTCTGCCACCCACTGTCTCTCGTTTTTCTTTCCCTGGGTGTTGCACAGAGCTTTTATTTGTGTTTTAATCTGTATGACATCTTGAGTTTTTTAGAGTAGGCAGGAAACTCAATATATTTATAGTAGCCCAGCGGACCAAAAAAAAACTGAATGAAAGTGAAATGAAATAATGTTCAGTGAACAAGTGACCATGACTAAAAGAAGTGAAATATTTTTGAAATGAGAATACAAACATATAGACCAACCACTAAGCTGTATTTCCAGTTTTATTTGTAATCACCTTAGATTACTGAGCCATATTTTAGACCCTGGAATTGCTTCTAACTTTTATCTCATGTCTCCTGGTTCTTGCCTTTTGTGTATTCTCTCTTCACCTACCTAGTCTTCCTGACTTTTTCAGGGCAATTTACTGCCCTTACTTCTGTTGGGAAGCCCAGCTTCTCCCTTTTATCTGCTTTGCAACCCCAGAGGCTGCTTACAATATTGGGTGGGTTTCAGCTGGTGTCCTCTCTTCCTTTTTGTCTTCATTTGCGAAATTTATTTCAAATCATACTGACACACTCAATTTCTTTCTTGTACAATTTTGTTCCATAGTCCTGATTTTCATTCTCTTGAACTCAGTGTAAATATTGGGTTGTTGTGTACATATTTTATGTAATGTAAATATTTTAAATTGAAGAGTGCATAGATACAGATAAATGTGTACAGAAATTTTATCTTGGTCATTCGTCTTCGACTGGATGTTTGCAATTGAGCTGGTTGCAAACATAGACAATTTTGTTGGATTATATAACTCATCTTTGGAATTTTTTAGAAAAATGTTCCCTCGCTTTTCCATGTATCTCTTTTTCATAGATTTATGAAGCAGATGTTGCTTAAGTTTTTGGAGAGTATATACCCCATACTAACCTAACACTAAGTCATCTCTGCTATTAATGGCAGATTGTCTTAACCTCATTCAAATTTGTGTTGTCTCAGAAGACTCTTAACTTCTCCACTATTAAAAAATATAGATTCATGAGGCTGAAATATATCTCTGCTGTGTTTTACCTTTTGGCCTCAAAGAGTTGAATATTAAGATAATACTTTTGTAGGAAACATCCAGAAGAATGGGGATGATAAAAACTGCCAGACTTGTCTTTTTCAGTGTTTATCTATCCTGACTCATTAAGAATTTTGTTTTGTCCAGACAAACTTTATTATTAAAATGTAAGGCTATAGAACCACCCCCTTTTGTCCCTCAAGTAATTTAACATCCTTCTTCACCCTTCCCAAATAATTAGCTAGTTATTTATAAGCGAAATGCTGTAAGTACTTCTGGAAACCAAAGCAGGTATATGCATTGCTTGTATAAAGTTCAATGTCTGATGTATAAAACAGATTTTAGGAAGTTAGAAATAAGTGGTTGTTATAGTTGCGTGTCAATATTGGGTAAATAAATACCTGAGCTGCTGATGGCACATGATTAATATGTGTAGCTGAAGATTCTTTTAGGATGTGGCCAGGTATTTGTAAATGAGGCAACTATTGGCCCAGTGATGTAGGGTAGGTATATTATGAATTGTGATAGATAAGCTTGAAAAGCATTCATCTGATAACGGCCTTAGTTTGAGGACAGAGAAGAAGCTTGTGCAATTTGGGGAAAAAGGCATCTTGGGAGTCTATGCCATTAGAAGCAAAATTTAAAATTCTCCGGGAAAAAGAAGGAGAGAGAAGGCATGGATGGAAGACAATTAGGTAATTAAGTGGGGATAGGTACATATATGGTGGTCCTTAGTACCAGATTTAAATAATAGCAATAATATTGATTTTAAATAGTATCTAATATTTTTTAAGTTCTACATGCCCTGAACATGTCTCAACTCATTTTATTCTTCTAAAAGTCCATTGAAATATTGGCCATTTCCCCTACTTTACAGGTGAGCATATTGAGTCAGAAGAAGACACCATAATTTCTTTTTTTTTTTTTTTTTTTTTTTTTTTTTTTTTTTTTTTTTTAATTTTTTTTTTTTCAACGTTTATTTATTTTTGGGACAGAGAGAGACAGAGCATGAACGGGGGAGGAGCAGAGAGAGGGAGACACAGAATCGGAAACAGGCTCCAGGCTCTGAGCCATCAGCCCAGAGCCTGACGCGGGGCTCGAACTCACGGACCGCGAGATCGTGACCTAGCTGAAGTCGGACGCTTAACCGACTGCGCCACCCAGGCGCCCCCACCATAATTTCTTATAGCTGTATGTGGCAGAGCCATGGTATAAACTCCAGGTCTGACTTCAGAGCCCATGCTGTTAACTGTGTTCTGCTAAATTAGTCAGTTTTGCAGCCTTTGTCAGAATTGTTCCAGTAAAGTAGAGTGGATTTCGTTGCTTACCTTATGACTTGCCCAGTGTGGTGGATTTTTCTGACACTCTAAATCATACCTTCAGCTGATAGCTGATGTTGCATTCATGTTTGGGACTAGTTACCTGTGGTGGGCACGGTACAGCAGGCGTCGTTGCAAATAAATGCTCTAGTAGATCACATCCTCAGTGTATTTAACATTAAACAACAATTCAACATGAGTGGGAATAAATTTTAGACCTAAATATCTCTCAAATATGAAGAAACAAGAGGAATTTATATTTCACATTTGAATTTCACATAGATTGGCATTACATTGAAGTATAAGAGTTTAATAACTTCTAATTTATCCTTCTTATGGTGTCTAATATGACTTTCACTAAAATTGTAATGCATATTTCCATGGCTTACAGTTCCATTAAAAATGATTTTTCTAATACTTTTTATTCCCCTACTTTCCCTCACCTGATTTCCCCGCTACATTTTTTGTTCAATCCTCTCTTCCAGGTCCCAGCACAACTATTTACGAATCACTCGTATTCTCAAAAGCCTTGGTGAGCTTGGATATGAAAGTTTTAAATCTCCTCTTGTAAAATTTATTCTTCATGAAGCTCTTGTAGAAAACACTATTCCCAATATTAAACAGAGTGCTCTGGAGTATTTTGTTTATACAATTAGAGACAGGAGAGAGAGGAGAAAGCTCCTACGGTTTGCCCAGAAACATTACACGCCTTCAGAGAATTTTATCTGGGGACCGCCAAGGAAAGAACAGTCAGAGGGAAGCAAAGCCCAGAAAATGCCTGCCCCTCCCACCTCTGGTCATATCAGTCAAACTTCTATGCACAAAAAATCCAAGGACTCTAAAAATTCCTCCTCAGCTATTCATTTGAATAGCAAAACAGCTGAAGAAAAAAAAGCGGCACCTGGAGGGGCTGGAGAAGAGGCAGACAGGCCTAGCACAGAGCCCAGCAGTGAAGCCACCAAGTCAAAGACAGAGGACGGTAATGCTGAAAATTCAAATTCTCAACTGGAAAAAGCAGTCAGCCATCCTACAGAGAGGAAGGAAATTGCAATTCCTCCTGAAAAAGATGAAGAGGGTGAAAATCACAACAAAGACTGTGAAAATCCTGGAAATACAGGCTCCCCTGATGATGTACCATTACAGTGAATTGTCAGAAAACCCGCAAACGTGTATAGGTAAGGGAGGAAAAACTGTACAATATATCCTGAAGAACAGAGGTCATTTCAAATTTTAGCTATCTGTTTGTAATTTCTGTTGTAAAGAGTTTGTTGTTGGTTTTTTATGTTGAATGATAATGAATTTAATAGTTAGTAAGAAGTTTTAAGCAGGACCCAATAAATGAATGTATTCTCTAACACTTTTAGGATGTGAGTTTCCAAGTTCTGTGCATAATAATTGCTTTTAAATTATTTTCAGTGTATGTGGAAATAATCATGTAGTATTTGATATATCAAATAAATTCTTTTGGGAGATTACGGTCTACATGAAGAAAATCAAGAGGATAAATTTCATTATTTTGCCACATAATTGCCCAATTTATGGATTCATAAAGCTGGGAAAACAAATTTAGCCGATTCAAATGTATTCAGAAAGTAATTTGGAATCTTCATTACAACACCTCAAGATGTTTCTTTTTAAATTCTGGTATGTGAAATGGATATTCTTAGGAAGCCATAATCACCCAGCCCATTTCTTGGGCTTTCCACTGTCCTTTCCTCTTTTCCTGTCTCTGCACTTGCCTTCATTTGCCGTCTTTGTAGGCCAGCATGTGCATTTCTAGGGTACATTCCAGTGATCCCCTGTACTGAAATTTAAATCAAACAGAGGGGCACTTTTAACTGTATGATATCAAGAATTTGCTTTTTTAAAATAATAAAAATGTTTTTCTATGTTAAATGCTTAAAAACAAATTTTGATGCAAAAGTCCAAGAAAAGGATTTTGCTTTTATGGCTGTTCCATATAAATTCGGTGCTTGTTTCTGAATGCAAATGACTAACGAATTCAAAAATAAGGAAAGAAAATACACATTTTTAAATAGCATGCTTCTTACACTGGTAACAAGGCAGTGGTCCCTAAAACCTTGACTATCTCAGTGTTCTGTGGGCTGTGAAATTAACAATATTGCTTAGTCCAGTGTATCTTTAAAAAAGAAAACAATTTGATGTATCTCTAAGTAGTCAAACCTTGAAATTCAGAACATTTAAAATTCTGTATTCTCAGTTTTAGCAAGCACTTATTGCGTTAATATTGGTTAAGAGTACGTAGTTTTACTTTCTGTAATATTATTACTAATGTTACACATCAGAAAATAATCACTGTGATGAGAACTTCAAAGCATACATACAAATATAGTTAAAGTAACTAATAGAAAAAAAATTCACTTTCATTTAGAGAAGAATTGGCAATTGTGTGTCTCTTGGGCTTTTAGATTCACTTTAACCCCCAGAGAATTTTTACTGTGTCTTCTTTGTTAGTCACATCATATCATCCTCTGTTAACCTTTATAATCGGGGGATTTCCAGCAGAGAATTTCTAGAAAATATACCAATTGTATGCCTTTAGAAGTATGATTTTATTGCTTTGAAGTTTACATGAAGCATCATAGTTGCTGAAACTTGAGTTTTTAATATATTATTAACCAAGTTGTATATCATATTCCAGTTATAAAACATCTTCTCATTTCTGGTTCCCAGAGTATCCGAGTTTTTGCTTTCTACTTTCTACAAAAGCAGAAACAATTCTGCTTTTGCATTTCAATTTCTTTTTTGTATGGGCCCTGTAATGTGCTGCTTATAGCAATGTCCCCATAGAGCTCAAAAAACAGTTTTACAGGGTAAGATGAGAGTAGTTGTTACATTGAGCTGAACTGTAGGAACATGATTAATTCAAAATATCTTAGCAATTTTGAATACATGAAAAAGTGTTCAGACTGCTTTCTAAGTGCAAAATATTTAAAATTTGTGACTAGATATTAAAATATTAATAAACAGTGGACAGAGACTAAAATAAATGGATATAATCTGAATTGCTTAGAAACTGTAGTGTATCAGAGCCCTTACAAATAAAAACACTTCATTCAACAATTTAACTTTTAGAATATTATTCCTAATTAGGGGTTTGATTAGATTGCAACAGTTAATTTGAGAATATTTAGTCTCAAGGGAAAAACTGCCTGGCCTACATTTATAAACAGTGGCCTTTTCCCAGAATGTTGTTTTTAAAATCCATATTCATATGTAACAGTATGATTCCTACATTTAATCTGCAAATAATTTATGAGAGAATTCCTCAGTGGAGAACAAATAAGAGGATGTCATTCCTTTTGCAGATAAAAATTATGTCTATAATTTTTTTCTATAAAGAATACTTTGTAAAATTAATAGTTTTTTAAATAATATCTATAGATACGTATTTATGTGGGTCTTAGATATGAAACAGCCTTCTGGGTTTGTCTCTAATGTTTTGTATTTTTAAAAACTACCATATGCTTGCAGAAATTTACTGAGAAGCTGTTTTAAAAATGCAGCGAAGCATGGCCAAATAGCTAGAAACATTATTGAATCTTTGCAAATATATAGACTTTATTGTTGTACCTTGGACTGTGAGGATATAAACATTGGCTATTGATAAAATATTTACTTGCATTTCATGGCAGATAGATGTTATATCGCTTGGTTAGTCTCGTACATTTCTAATATTTTGTGCTTTCATATCTCTAAGGAGATAATATATGTGAAAGTATTTTGAAATACTGTAAAGTGATATATAATTACAAGATATATTTCTGTACAGCAGAGAAAAAGTTTATAACATTAAGAATATTGTACCATTATACAGTTTCATGCTCAATCTCATAAGAACTCAAAAGAATCATGATAGAAGAGAAAATGTGTCTGCTTTTTCTAAATCAGGTCTAGTTCTCAGTTCAAAAATTATTTTGCATAGTTTTGTTTTGAATTTTGATTTTGAGACTACATTTTTCAGCTTCGAGGATAAAATAAAATATGCAACTCAGGAGTTACTAGAGAAGTTCTAAGATTTTTTTTGCTCAATATTAACAATGTAAACATGAAAATGTCGTTTCATATCTATCATAGTCATTTTGTTTCATATTTTATATAAAATTACCTACATTGCTTTTAGTTTTTATGCTTTAATCTGAGTGAAGATATGATCTGGTGAAAAAGGAAAAACAGTGCAATGTTACATCTGTTACTCTTTAAAAAGCCATTTTTGTAGGTAAACTCCCATATCAAGTGGTCAAAAACTGGTTGAGCTGATAGGGAATAGTTGGTTCATTGTATAAAGTTAAATTTCCCAAGTTTGTAATAGAGTTATGATTGGATTTATACTCTTGAGTAAATGGGCCTTTTTTTTTTTTTTTTTTTTTTTTTTTTTTGTCTTTCTATAATTGAGGCTCCTCTAAAAGCTTTATTTTCTACCCTGAGAAAAGAAGGACATTCTTGATCTTACTTGATTATAGCTTCATCTATGGGTCTTTCATGCCTATTTGTGCTGAGTGGGGATCCTTTGTTATAGGAATGGTTTTGAAGATTTCTAATTTGTCTCCTGCTTAGAAAACTCCTCTTTGTTTTTTGGGCTATATGTGTTAAATAGAAGGTAGGCTGGAGTTAGACATGCTAGGATCGTTTCAAATGTAGGTAAGGTTATAGAGAACGATGATGGAGTCAATGTAGGATCTAGAAATTAGGAGTTACATATACTGACTTCTTTCAGCTTTGAATTCTGTAGTGTTTATTACATGAACAGATTTGTGTGGGTAATTTCTAGGGTGACAGTGAGTACTACCCTGCCTCCATCCCTGTTCTAGTTATCCAGCCCACCCAGCAGATTGTGTTCAGGGACAGACTGTGGTTTTAGAAATCCCTTATTATTGAAGTTAATAATAATATAGTTATAAATATGAATGCCTGGAGGTGTCCAGATGTGCCTTAACTAATATAGATGGTTTTCATTCAGAAGTTTAAATTTTTTACTCCATTGTAAAATCTTGCCATGAGGAACTTTCCAAACCATGAATATCAGTTATTTTAATGAACTTTCTTTGGTGCTTTTTCATTTTGGAGAAATTTCCCTTTGTGACAATAGTATTAGTTCATAAGGAGGTGTATTTGCCACAGTGTTCAACAGTGTGTTATGTTTGACAAAATGTATTTACAGTAATGTTAACTACGTTGTTACATTTACTTACGCTTTTGTTTGATTTTGCTACATGCTATGAATTTCATTTTAAACATTTCTCAGTTACTACAAGTAATATTTGTCTGTATTTTACTTCTTGTTCTTAGCTGCAGATGGATGTAGAAAATGGAATTCTATTAGAGAATTATTTAGAAGTTTAATTCCAGTAGATGGTTGGAGGAATCTGAAATTACTTTTCTTATTAAAAACATTTAAAAAACACTGTTTTTGCTTTTTTTCCTAGATTAGAATGTTATTTGTCATCTTTTTTCTTGATCTGTTGAGAATTATTGTTTTAGTTATTTGTGGGAAATAGCTTCTTAATGTTTCTTTCTTGAATTCAAGTTTTCATGTTAGAGAATACAATTAAGTGCTTTGTTTTATGGCTCATACTGTGCCAGGAAGTAGAGTGCAGAATGGGGAGTAAGAATCAGGTGAGCATCTTGGTAAAGTGGAGCCAACACTGGGTTCCAGTCTCTCCAAAGTCATTACAGATCCTCAGAGCCTCCTCTGGTTCAGAAGAGTGTTGAGCTTTCTTATCCCCGGCTTCTGAAGAGGGTGGGTTACCTTAGATTCTATACATAATTTTAATATGTTATCAATTTTCACAAAATATCTGTTATAATTTGCTACCATTTTGTAGTTAGGAAATTGTGAGCAATTGGACACTTGCTATGTAAATTGAATCTTTAGAACTATTTTGGGAAACATTGAAATACCATTTCCGCCCACCCTTCCTCCTAGTTCTTCAATCAAAGTTCTTTTAAGTTGTTCTTTCATAGATATATATTTAAAAGTTTTTATAAGATGACTCAGTGTACATTAAAAATGAAGTGAAAGTGAAAAGACGTTGATAATTTGTTAGGCTAAAAGACTCTTTTTAAACAAAGAATCCAAAACCTTATGAAAATATATTTAAGCTATGAAATTTATCATATTCTCG